AATCGGTAGGGATACCAAGGTGCTTGTTTATAATGTATTTATTATTTATTTACAGCATTTCTATTCCGCCCTTCTCCTCACCCCGTAGGGGACTCAGGGCGGATTACAGTGTACACATATATGGCAAACATTCAGTGTTTTAATAGTTTTTATCTTTGTCATTTAAGTATATAAATGTTTAATATGTATCACATTTGATACTAGTTTTTAACTCTGCTTTTGACAATGTTTCTTAATACCAAAATGCATGTCATGTTCCTGTTTGAATGTGTGTGTGTGTATATATATAGGTAAAGGTAGTCCCCTGACATTAAGTCCAGTCATGTCTGACTCTGGGGTGTGGTGCTCATCTCCATTTCTAAGCCGAAGAGCCAGTGTTGTCCATAGACACCTCCAAGGTCATGTGGCCACTGGCATGACTGCATGGAGCGCTGTTTTGTATATATACACAATGTGTATATATACACACACATACTATATATGTTGTTGTTGTTCATTCGTTCAGTCGTCTCTGACTCTTCGTGATCTCATGGACCAGCCCACACCAGAGCTCCCTGTCGGCCGTTGCCACCCCCAGGGTCTCCTTCAAGGTCAATCCAGTCACTTCAAGGATGCCATCCATCCATCTTGCCCTTGGTCGGCCCCTCTTCCTTTTGCCTTTGACTTTCCCCAGCATCATTCCCTTCTCTAGGCTTTGCTGTCTCCTCATGATGTGGCCAAAGTACTTCATTTGTCTCTACTACCCTTCCCTCCAGTGAGCAGCCGGGCTTTCTTTCCTGGAGGATGGACTGGTTGGATCTTCTCGCAGTCCAAGGCACTCTCAGAACTTTCTTCCAGCACCACAGTTCCAAAGCGTCTCTCTTCCTTTGGTCAGTCTTCCTTCTGGTCCACCACCCCCAGCTCCTTCAAGGTCAATCCAGTCACTTCAAGGATGTCATCCATCCATCTTGCCCTTGGTCGGCCCCTCTTCCTTTTTCCTTCCACTTTCCCCAGCATAATTGTCTTCTCTAGGCTTTCCTGTCTCCTCATGATGTGGCCAAAGTACTTCAACTTTGTCTCTAGTATCTTTCCCTCCAGTGAGCAGTCGGGCTTTATTTCCTGGAGGATGGACTGGTTGGATCTTCTCGCAGTCCAAGGCACTCTCAGAACTTTCCTCCAACACCACAGCTCAAAAGCATCATCTTCCTTCGCTCAGCCTTCCCTAAGGTCCAGCTCTCCCATCCGTAGGTGACTACAGGGAATACCATGGCTTTGACTAGGCAATGGATCTTGGTTGCCAGTCTGATGTCTCTACTCTTTACTATTTTATCGAGACTGGACATTGCTCTCCTCCCAAGAAGTAAGCGTCTTCTGATTTCCTGGCCACAGTCTGCATCTGCAGTAATCTTTGCGCCTAGAAATACAAAGTCTGTCACGGCCTCCACTTTCTCCCTCTATTTTCCAGTTGTCAATCATTCTTGTTGCCATAATCTTGGTTTTTTTTATGTTAGCTGCAACCCGGCTTTTGCGCTTTCTTCTTTCACCTTGATTAGAAGGCTCCTCAGCTCCTCCTCGCTTTCGGCCATCAGAGTGGTGTCATCTGCATATCTGAGGTTGTTGAATGTTTCTTCCAGCAATTTTCACCCCAGCCTTGCATTCATCCAGCCCCGCACATCCTCGCATGATGTGTTCTGCATACACGTTAAAAAGGTTGGGTGAGAGGATGCAGCCTTGCCGGACGCCTTTCCCAATCTGGAACCCGTCTCCTGTTCCGTGGTCAGTTCTGACTGTGGCTCCTTGGTCCTTGTACAGATTCCTCAGGAGAGAGGGAAGGGGGCTTGGGATGCCCATCCCACCAAGAACTTGCCACATTTATTATGATCCACACAGTCAAAGGCTTTAGAATAGTCAATGAAGCAGAAGTAGATGTTTTTCTGAAACTCCCTGCCTTTCTCCATTATCCAGCGATATTGGCAATCTGGTCTCTCGTTCCTCTGCCTTTTCTAAACCCAGCTTGAACATCTGGCAACTCTCGCTCCATGTATTGCTGGAGTCTTCCTTGCAGGATCTTGAGCATTACCTTACCGGCATGAGAAATAAGGGCCACTGTACGGAAGTTTGAGCAGTCTTTCGCATTTCCCTTTTTTGGTATGGGGATATAAGTTGATTTTTTCCAGTCTGATGGTCATTCTTGTGTTTTCCATATTTGCTGGCAAATGGCATGCATCACCTTGACAGCATCATCTTTCAAGATTTTGAACAGTTCAGCTGGGATCCCGTCGTCTCCTGCTGCCTTGTTGTTAGCAATGCTTCTTAAGGCCCATTCAACCTCACTCCTCAGGATGTCTGGTTCTAATTCATTCACCACACCGTCAAAACTATCCTCAATATTATTATCCTTCCTATACAGATCTCCTGTATAGTCTCGCCACCTTCTCTTGATCTCTTCAGCTTCTGTTAGGTCCCTGCCATCTTTGGTTCTTATCATACCAATTTTTGCCTGAAATTTACCTCCAATGTTTCTAATTTTCTGGAAGAGGTCTCTTGTCCTTCCTATTCTGTTGTCTTCTTCCACTTCCATGCATTGCTTGTTTAAAAATAGTTCCTTATCTCTTCTGGCTAACCTCTGGAATTGTGCATTTAACTGGGCATATCTCCCCTTATCCCTGTTTCCTTTTGCTTTCCTCCTTTCTTGGGCTACTTCCAGTGTCTCAGCAGACAACCATTTTGCCTTCTTGGTTTTCTTTTTCTTTGGGAGGTACTTTGTTGCCGCCTCCTGAACAATGTCGCGGACTTCTGTCCATAGTTCTTATATATATATATAGATAGATAAATATACATATATACATATGTATATATATATATACAAACACACACACATATATATACACACACATACTTTATATATATGCGTATATTCTCTCTCTCTCTGTATATATGTGTGTGTATATGTTTTACAGTGGCTCAGGTCCTTCCTAGAGGATCGTACCCAGAAGGTGTTGCTGGGGGACACCTGCTCGTCCTCACAACCATTGATTTGTGGGGTCCTGCAGGGTTCAATTCTGTCCCCCATGTTATTTAACATCTACATGAAGCCGTTGGGAGAGATCATCCGGAGTTTCGGGGTGCGGTGTTATCTGTACGCAGATGATGTCCAACTCTGTCACTCCTTTCCACCTACTACTAAGGAGGCTGTCCAGGTCCTGAACCGATGCTTGGCTGCTGTGTCGGACTGGATGAGGGTGAACAAATTGAAATTGAATCCAGACAAGACAGAGGTACTCCTGGTCAGTCGCAAGGCCGAACAGGGTATAGGGTTACAGCCTGTGTTGGACGGTGTCATAATCCCCCTGAAGACGCAGGTTTGCAGCTTGGGTGTGATCCTGGATTCTTCGCTAAGCTTGGAACCCCAAGTTTCGGCGGTTTCCAGGGGAGCATTTGCACAGCTTCGGCTTGTGCGCCAGCTGCGCCCGTATCTTGGGAAGTCGGACTTGGCCACGGTAGTCCACGCTCTTGTCACATCCCGTATAGATTACTGCAACGCGCTCTACGTGGGGTTGCCCTTGAAGACTGCCCGGAAGCTTCAGATGGTCCAGCGCTCGGCAGCCAGGTTGCTAACGGGAGCGGCTCTCAGGGAGCACACCACCCCCCTGTTGAACCAGCTCCACTGGCTGCCAATTCGCTACCGGGCACAATTTAAGGTGCTGGCTTTAGCCTATAAAGCCCTACACGGTTCCGGCCCCACTTACCTCTCCGAACGCATCTCCTCCTACGAACCGGGAAGAGCGTTAAGATCTTCCGGGGAGGCCCTGCTCTCGGTCCCGCCGGCGTCGCAACGCGGTTGGCGGGGACGAGAGACAGGGCCTTCTCGGTGGTGGCCCCTCGGCTATGGAATGCCCTACCAGTGGACATCAGGCAGGCCCCTTCGTTGCTGGTGTTTCGGAGGAGGGTGAAGACGTGGCTCTACGAGCAGGCATTCGGTTAACTATGCAGTGACAACTAACTCAATAATGACGGCATTGAACAAGGAATGGAAAGGATTATGAGATCGGAATCTGAGTATAAGTGTGGCGTTGATGATTATGTGTTTTGTTTGTATTGTGTGTCTCATATATTGTTCAATGTTGCTATTTTTACTGTAAACTGCATTGAGTCGCCGCCAAGGCTGATATATGCGGTATACAAAAGAGTAAATAAATAAAATAATAAATAAATAACGTCTATAATGGGGCAGTGGGTTAAAGCACTGAGCTGCTGAGCTTGTTGATCGAAAGGTCGCAGGTTCGATTCCTGGGAGCGGCGTGAGCTTCCGCTGTCAGCCCTAGCTTCTGCCAACCTAGCAGTTCGAAAACATGCAAATGTGAGTAGATCAATAGGTACCGCTCCGGCGGGAAGGTAACGGCGCTCCATGCAGTCATGCCGGCCACATGACCTTGGAGGTGTCTACGGACAACGCTGGCTCTTTGGCTTAGAAATGGAGATGAGCACCACACCCCAGAGTCAGACATGACTGGACTTAATTTCAGCTGCCAACCTTGTTGTTGTTCATTCGTTCAGTCGTCTCCGACTCTTCGTGACCTCATGGACCAGCCCACGCCAGAGCTCCCGGTCGGCCGTTACCACCCCCAGCTCCCTCAAGGTCAGTCCAGTCACTTCAAGGATGCCATCCATCCATCTTGCCCTTGGTCGGCCCCTCTTCCTTTTGCCTTCCACTTTCCCCAGCATAATTGTCTTCTCTAGGCTTTCCTGTCTCCTCATGATGTGGCCAAAGTACTTCAACTTTGTCTCTACCTTTACCTATATATGTATGTATGTATGTATATATTGGAAGAGGTAGACATAGCTAGATGGATGGGTGGAGAGATCATTGAAGACCTGAGTCTGGGTGCCCGGGGTGGGAAAAAACCCTCCTCCTCTGGTGGGAAACTACACTTCCCGGCATGCCCCGGTGCTGACGCACGGCGCCCGACCAATCAGGGCGGCGCTTGTTTCGGGGCGGCGTGCGCGCGGCGCTTTTGTGTGCGTGAGGAGAAAGCGGAGGCGGAGGCGGCAGCAGCGCGAAGGAAGGAAGGAAGGAAGGAAGGAAGAAGGAGCCAGCCTGAGGGCCGAGGCCGGGGCGCGCGGAGCGTGGAGCCAGCCCAGCCTAGCCCGTTCGCCAGCGCGGCCCCTCGCCTCAGCTCGCAGGCCTCTCCTTGGGACGGCGGCGGAAGCGAGGCCCGTTGGAGGCGGGGCCAGGGGCGGCCGTGGCGGGGCGGGCGCCCAAATTGAGGCCGGGGATCGCGCGCGGCCTACTGCGGGGCCTGGCCCGCCCCTCGCCGCCGGGCTCGGCCTGGCTCGGCGCCGCGCTTTCGCCTCGCCTGCTTCCGCTGCTGCTGCTGCCGCTGCCACCAGTCCGAGACGGAGCGCGGAGTTAGAATGGAACAGACTGAAGAAGGTGAGGGGGGGGTGGGGGACGGGGGGGGGGAGGGGAAGTGGGAGGGGGCGGGGCCTGCGCGGGGGAAGGGGCGGGGCCAGGTGGAGGGGGGCAACAATGGCCAAATGGATTGCTATAACAACAACAACAACAACAACAGATKATGTGCTATGTTAATGATATAATATACTGTAATATAATATGTTGTATATACATATCATATTTGTAATATTATAATGCAATGCAATATAATACTACACCTAATAATATGATATTATAATTATATATTGCAACCACAACAGCAACAGTTTTGTCATGTGCTATGCTAATAATATAATATACTGTCATATAATGTAATACCACATAATACTACACCTAATAATACGATATAATAATACAATATCAGGAGATGCATTGGATTGTTATTGATGTGCGAATATTGTGTATTATGCTTTTATGGTTTTAAATTGTATATACATATCATATTTATAATATAATGTAATGCAATATAATACTACACCTAATAATATATTACAATTATATATCTGCAACCACAACAACAGCTTTGTTATGTGCTGTGCTAATAATATAATATACTGTAATATAATATGTTGTATATACATATAATATTTGTAATATTATAATGTAATGCAATAAAATACTACACCTAATAATACGATATTATACTTATATATTTGCAACCACAACAACAGTTTTGTTATGTGCTGTGCTAATAATATAATATACTGTAAAATAATGTAATACCACATAATACTACACCTAATAATACGATATTATACTTATATATTTGCAACCACAACAACAACAGTTTTGTTATGTGCTGTGCTAATAATATAATATACTGTAAAATAATGTAATACCACATAATACTACACCTAATAATACGATATTATACTTATATATTTGCAACCACAACAACAACAGTTTTGTTATGTGCTGTGCTAATAATATAATATACTGTAAAATAATGTAATACCACATAATACTACACCTAATAATACGATATTATACTTATATATTTGCAACCACAACAACAACAGTTTTGTTATGTGCTGTGCTAATAATATAATATACTGTAATATAATATGTTGTATATACATATCATATTTATAATATAATGTAATGCAATATAATACTACACCTAATAATATATTACAATTATATATCTGCAACCACAACAACAGCTTTGTTATGTGCTATGCTAATAATATAATATACTGTAATATAATATGTTGTATATACATATCATATTTATAATATAATGTAATGCAATAAAATACTACACCTAATAATACGATATTATACTTATATATTTGCAACCACAACAACAACAGTTTTGTCATGTGCTATGCTAATAATATAATATACTGTAATATAATATGTTGTATATACATATCATACTTATAATATTGTAATGTAATGCAATAAAATACTATACCTAATAATATGATATTACAATTATATATCTGCAACCACAACAACAGCTTCTGTTGTGTGCTTTGCTAATAATATAATATACTGTAAAATAATATGTTGTATATAATATAATATTTATAATATTATAATGTAATGCAATAAAATACTATACTATATCTGCATTACTTGTAATATTTCTAATAATATTACAATATAATGGTATAAAACAATATAGTAATATTTAATACTGGTATTGTACTAGGCTAATCTTTGATATAAATAAAAATGTTTGTTTGTGGAATTAGCATAATTTAAAAACCACTGGGCGAATTGACACCAAATTTGGACACAATACACATATCAGGCCAACGAGTGACCATCACTCATAAAAATACATTTGGCCAAGAAGCAGGACAATCGCGTTCAAATCACTCCTGATCGATGGCCATCTAGCCTGTTTCAAAGCCTCCAAAGAACTAGCCTCTACCACACTCCGGGGCAGAGAGTTCCACTGCTGAACAGCTCTCACAGTCAGGAAGTTCTTCCTCATGTTCAGATGGAATCTCCTTTCTATCTTGTATATATCTTTCCATATATATATATATATATATATATATAGTATATATTTTCTTTAAATGCTCTGAGCCCCCTTCAGGGTGAGAAGGGCAGCATATAAATATCGTAAATAAATAAATTCCTTACTAGCTGTACTCGCCACACATTGCTGTGGCCAACCTTCCCTCCCTCTTTCTCTCCTTCTTTCTTTCTCCTTCCTTCCTTCCCTCTTTCCTTCTCCTTCCTTCCTTCCTTCCCCTTCCTTTTTCTTTCTCTCCTTCTCTTCCTTTTTTACCTATTATTGGACTGTAACTCCCAGCAGTCCTCATGATTGGTCTATCTACCTACTATATTATATTATATTACATGTATCTATTCAAATAAAAATGTTATGTTCGTTCATGAGATTAACATAACTAAAAAAAAACCACTGGACGAATTGACACCAAATTTGGACACAAGACACCTATCAGGCCAACGAGTGACCGTCACTCATAAAAAAACTAAATAACACAGCGGAAGGGACTTAAAAAGTCGAAAAATAAAAAATACATTACAACACATGCACAAAACCACATATATACAAACAGAGACACGTACATACACACACAAACACATATATACAGACTGGGACACAGAAAAGCATGGCAGGGGACAGCTAGTATTACTAAAAATATTACAGTATAATGGTATAGTACAATATAGTAATATATAATACTAATATTGTGCTATGCTAATAATATAATATATTATATTTACATATTACTTGCAAGCCGGTCTGAGTCCCCTTCTGGGTGAGAAGGGCGGCATATAAACACATAAATAAATACTGTCTATCTCTATCTAATCTATATATCTTATCTATCTGGAGAATTCTTGGAAGTTGCAGGAATAGGAAATTGTTGGAAGTTGCAGGAATAGGAAATATGCCGGGATTGGGATGCTCTCAAGGAAATCCAAGGAGAAGAAAGCTTGCATCTTAGAAGCAGTGTATTTGGATCATCCTCCTCTCCTCAGGGACCTGGTCTAGGGGATGCTGGGAGCTGTCATTTTCGCACATGCGCTGTATCATCATTTAGCTTTTTGGGGTTTTTAAGTCCTTTCTGCTATATTTTGAGAGGGGTTTATGAGTGATGGTCACTCATTCATCTGTTAGGGGTGTAGTATCCAAATTTTGTGTCAATTCGTTGAGTGGTTTTTGAGTTATGCTAATCCCACAAACTAACATTACATTTTTATATGTATAGATCATCAAAATACATAAACATTGTAAGAATACCACAGATACACCCATTAAAATGCATTTAATTATTTATTTACAGCGTTTATATTCCGCCCTTCTCACTCCGCAGACGACTCAGGGCAGATTACAATGCACATAAACATGGGAAACATTCAATACCATTTAGACATACAACACATATAGACAGACACAAAGGCAATTTAACATTACAACTCATTATAAAATAAATATAAATAATAAAACAACAACAACAATAATAGCTTTGTTTTTTATCGTTGAAATACATAAACATTGTAAGAACACTATAGATACAGCAATTAAAATGTATTTCTATAAAAGATATATAATAATAAATACATTATATTGTTTTAATGTTTTTATTGGGTGTTTTTAATTTTTTTATGTTTTCATGTTTAAATGTCATCTTATCTTAGGGTTAATTTAGGCATAATTATATGTTGTTTAGATTTATGATTTGGTTTTTATTTATTCATTCATTTACAGTATTTATATTCCACCCTTCTCACCCCGCAGGGGACTCAGGACGGATTACAGTGCACATATACATGGCAAACATTCAGTGGCACAGACATACAACATATATATAGACAGGCACAGAGGCAATTTAACATTCCAGCTTTTTCCGGCTTCATGAGATTATGCTCGATTCCGGCCACAGGGGGAAGCTGTTGCTTCACTGTCCACTTGTGACACCGAGTCCTTGGTGGAGTACTTCCTCATTCTAGAGCATGCTGCTGGAAGGTTTTATGGTGTCGTAAATTAGTTAAATTAGCCTCCTCATATAAGGTGGTAACTAAATTTCCTACTTGACAGATGCATCTTTTTTTCGGGTTGCATAGGTCAACAGCAAGCTAGACTATTAATGGTCTGGCTTCGAACTCATGACCTCTCGGGTGGCTCCTAACTAGCAGCACCACAGCCTTGTCATTTTATTATTTTAATGTTTTTATTAGGTGTTTTTAATTTTTTAATGTTTTCATATTTAAATGTCCTCTTAAAGTTAATTGTCTTATTGGATTTGTGCATAGTTCTATGTTGTTTAGATTTATTATTTGAATTTTAAGTATGTAAAGCATTGGATTTTGACATTATTTGTTGTAAACTGCTTTGAGTCCTCCCCAGGGGTGAGAAAAGCGGTATATAAATACAGTAAACAAACAAACAAACAAATTGTATTAATTAGCCTCACCAAACCCGACCAAACGACAAAGTTTTTTACAACTTAATACAACTCAATGTAGCAGTTACATAAGACATTTATAATAATACAGTAAATAGGTGTATTAAAACTGAATGTATACATATAATATTAAACAAATAGAAAAAGGTACAATATCCAGCCTATTGACAGTAGCAAGATTGCTTATAGCAAGAAGGATAGTGTTATTTTAATAGTGAATGCAATGTTTTGTGTTTTAATGTGCATTTAATTTTAATTTTTTTAAACTTAAGTGTATTATAACTGTTTCTTGACTAGTGGCATTGAATAGTTCCCATAGGTAAAGCCGCCTTGAGTCCCCTTTGGGGTTGAGAAAGGTGGGATACAAATAAAGGAAATAAATAAACAAAGTTAAAAAGGGAAGTAAATAATACAGCTTGAAGAGTGGTATTAGGAATTATGGAGGTGGGCAATAAATGATTAGTTTATTTATTTACTATATTAGTATGGTATTTAACTATATTGTCTTATACCGCTATTCTGCAATATTATTAGTAATATTGCATGTAATATTTAATATACAATTAATACATTTATTATTATTAT